AAAGATAACTGTGTTGTGCATAAACATATGTTCACACATGTGTGCATGAAACAAACCTCGCATTTTGCAGAGATGTGATGACAAAGGTCAACATGAAAGCCAGGCTCTCACCGAGATGGAGCAATGTTGTTCCCAAATGGAAAGCGAAGCTTGCAGTCATTTGAGCATGCAAGCACTTTCATTTGTATGTATACAACTCACATTTCACAGTTGCAGCAGACCACAAGCCACTTGAATTGATTTTCAGTGATCCCAAAGCCACAACCACTAGCAAGACTAGAGCGATGGTGACTCTAATTTCAACGCTAAAGCTTCACTGTAAGATACAAAGCAGGCAAAGGCAATCCAGCGGGCTATATTTCTAGGCACCCAACTGCAGGAGCCATAAGCCCAAGGACTTTTCATATGGCAGGAGTATGTGAACTATATTGTGGACCATATAGTACCCAAAGCCATGACATTAGCCCAGGTACAGTCTGCAACTAAGCAGGATCTGATGCTGCAAGAAGTCACATGCCTGTTAAGCTTTGGTACCTTATCAATTATTCAACCAAAAATAATGTTTTTTTATGTCATACTGAAGTCCCTCTCCTATTTAAAGGATGAATTAACTCGAATGCCAGTGCACTTTCAAGAGGCACAAGGTTGATTTTCCCAAACTCACTACAGGAGAAAGCTGTTAGTCCTGCACATGTAGGACATGTAGGCATTAAAAAAACAAAGCAGCTTCTGAAGGTGAAGATATGGTTTCCAAGAATAGATAGCACAGTGGAAAAGCAATCAAGCTTCACCTTTCTTGCCAAGCAACTGTAAATACTGTTATTGTGAAATGGATAGATCTAGAAGTAACAGTTCAACTGCAAAGCTGTAGGCCTTGAAAGCTCACAAAATAGGACTGCAAAGTTGTGAAACAAGCAGTATTTATAATTCATCTTCAACACTCACTATCAATTTCCAAACTGACCCTGTAACCAACATCAGCACAACAGCTCTTCATTGGGAGCTCCATAGTTTGGGTTTCCGTGGGTGAGCAGCTACACACAAGCCTAAGTTCACCATGCCTAATGCCAAGCATCTGGTGGAATGATGTAAAATACACTGCCTTTGGACTAAAAATGCATTCTCTGGAATGATGAATCTAGCTTTACAATCTGGCAATCTGCTGCACAAATCTGGGTTTGGTAGATGTCAAGAAAAAGCTACTTCCCCGAATAAATGATACCAACTGTAAAGTTTGGTGGAGGAGGAATAATGGTCTGGAAATGTTTTTCATGGTTTGGGATTCTTGGTTCTAGTGAAGGGAAATCTTAATGCTACTTGATACAGCAGCATTTTCGAGAATTGTGTGCTTTCAACTTTGAGGCAGCAGTTTGGGGAAGCCTTTTCCCGTTTTTCAACATAACAACAACCCCATGCACAAAGTGAGGTCCATAAAGAAATGGTTTGCTGCACTGTTGAAACATTTCACTGGCCTACACAGAGACCTGAATTAACCCAATCAAACACTTTCTCTTAACATTGGTACCTGGCCTTTACTACTGCTCTTGTGGCTAAATGGAATCCAAATTCTAGGAGAAGGCCTGCCCAGAAGACCAGAGACCGTATTTTTAACTGATGTGGCACAAAATAAAAGATACATAAGAGATTTGTACATCTAGCAAATTATACTACTACTATAATTATCTTGATGTTTTCAATGTTTTTCTAGCATATATGTTTTTACCAGTATTGGCTGCCAAGACATTTTTTAATTGTATTAGTTTTAGAATTAACATCACATAGACCCTAAAATAATGCTGAATGACTTCAAAAGACTCTTCAGTAATGTTTCTGTATGTCTCCAGGCCGCAAACCCAGGAAATAGCATCTCCATCACCCAGCTGTGTATCTATGAAGAGTGACTGGTCCATGGATCCCTCTCAGAATTTCAGCAGTGGAGCTGTGGCCTCTAACCCAAGGTCAGTTACCTCCTTTCAGTTTAACAGTAAGGGTGAAGTATAGTTTGAAAAAGTACCATGCATGTGAAATGGCACACTTGCTACTACAGTACATGCAGTACATGACATTATCCCAAAAAGGATTATTTGACTAATTGTGAATATACTCAAAATAACCCAATGACCCATAATTGGGTGCAAAACATGCACCCATTGCTGTACACTTAATCTGCCAATACAGAGTGTCCTGAAAAAGCACAGTCTCTCAAATACATACCTACATTGAAATGTCTAATTAGGACATGTCAATACAATAAAGACATTTAAAGTAGTGCCTTGGTTTAGAGAGTTTTTTCTCTCTTTTTTGTCTTTTTATATAAAAGTCTATTCTCAGGACAGCTTGGTTACTCACAGTAAACAGTTTTTGGATTTTTTATCATGTTATTTTCTTTTAAATAGCCCATTGACTTGCGAAGACCTTTCAGGCATGACTGCTCTCTGGAATGAGTGTGTCAAGGATGTCAGTGACAGGTAATGTGTTCGTGTTCGGTTAAGGAGCGCCTTGATTTGGAGAGATTTTTCCTCTTTTTATTCTCATTGAAAATTTTCCCTTTACACCAAAGAACACCCGATTCAAACAACACTAAAAGGAAAGGTCAATATAGAGCACACCTACAGCTATTCTTCTAAAACAGTACTCCTGATCTTCGCAAGGGTAACCTTTTTTTGGCTGTTACTTCACTCAAGTATAGTGAGTGTTCTTTTTCGATTTTTTATATTCTACTAAGGAAAGTAAAAAACATTGTTATTTCCAGTTCCCTCCTTACTGGAATAAATGCATTAGAAGTTCCAAGTGAAGAGGCTTAGAGGACACTTAGAGATGGGAGGCCATGTTGAATAAGTGCCCCTTTGATCTTATCATGTTAATCATTGAGTAAACAAAGAAAAAAAGAGAAAAAGTGCAAAGGCAAAATGAATGAATTGAGAACATAAATGTCCCAAGCTAACAGTGCTTCACAACAAACATCAATCAAACAAACATCAATGGAGAATTAACCGAAAGAGATCTTGGAGAAATTTACGTTGGAATTAAAATAGTATGAACTGAAAAAATTCAAAAGATAATGTAAGGTACCATCAGATGAATAAACACCTAAAACACAACTGTTAAATCTGAACCAGTGCATAGTGCCCAAGACATTTTAAACCTAAGTCTAGTTTTATGCACTATGGCTAAGCACTACAAGGAGGTACACCACAGTAATCCTTTGTCCTCAAAAAATCAGGGTATTCAAAAAAATCAAATCAGTTTGTGTAGATTGAATCTATCTGCCTTGGTTTGGAGAGACTTTCTTTTTCCTCATAGAATCTACTTTTATTCTCAGGACAGCTTAGTTGCTCTCATTAAACAAACTTTTTGATGTTTTATAATGTTATTTTCTTTTAAACAGATCAATGACTTGTAAAGACCTTTCAAATGTGATTGGTCTCTGGAAAGAGTGTGTCCAGGATGTGAGTGACAGGTAATATGTTTATTTTCTGTTGCTACAAATATGAAAAAAGTTTTTTTAATGTGTCTTTTCATATGATAATGTTTCATGCTCTCTTGTAATGTTCAAACAGTTTATGTTTAAAATTCTGCAGTTGACTAGATATCTATCAAAATTTTGTAAATGTTTCCTTGCCAAAACATTGAAGCAAGACCAAATTTTAATGCTAAACTGAGCTAACATTAAATAACAGTTCTGAGACATGAAAAGAAAGCCTAGCAGTAACATTAGTTTCATTTTCGCATAAGTGATTTATTTCTTTATTCGTTTTATTTTGAGGGCAAAATATAAGTGTAATATTTCAAGGGCAATCAATCAAAGCATCTTGTAGCCTGTATCAACCCAGGGCATTACTGGACTGGTCAAAGGTTGGACCACCAATTAAAACCGATGTTCTCCATTATCTCTTGGTGTTTGTAAGAGATGCAGATAATAAACTGCAGGAGTAAAAGGAAAAAAAAAAGAAAAAAGTAAATCAAAAGCCTGCAGAGTGGTGAGTGTAGGGTAAGCTGAAGTTATACAGCATGGTCGTTTGACAAAAAGCACTCATTCACAAACAATTTCATCCACTCGTTTGGATGCAGTTTGAGATATTGGCTGTTGTTGCTAGATTTTACAGTCTTAAACCTCATCCCAAATTGCACCCTAAGCCTTGCATTCATGAATTAGTCCACATTTTGGTGATGCCAATAATGTGCAGACCTACACTCTTAAAACAGATGTGTTGAAAACAACACATTATGTCCTTAACTAGACACATTACTTTTAATACAAAATATGTTAGGACAAAACAACAACACATCAAATAGATTAAAATGGGTAACACAGGCAAGTGTATTGCTATTTAACACATCAATTTTTAGAGTGCATAGGACAAGATACTTCGAGGATGCTTGGTTTAAACAAAGGTATTTGGAACTCATGTGATGTGCAGGCTTTGCATGGGCTACAGCGGGAGTATTGGTTTCACTCATTTTTTTAAATGAGCTAATTTGCATATCAACACTGGCTCAATTCAGGTTACAAACATAAAGCTAATCAATGACAAGTAAATTTAAGAAATAAATGCATATTTGCTCATGTGAATATCTTCTTCTCCACCATGTTGCTCAGACAGCTGTAATCTAACGTCCTCAGCTGTATTTCAAGAATGCCCTGCTGTGTCTGCATCAGTGTTGTCCTGTTTCATTAGTTCCCCTTTGAGCACCAAAATGACAAATGAGACACTTTACAGCCTTGTGGTCCTTTACACTCAGTTGTGGATTGCAGGACTGCAAGTGTGCCATTTGGGACAGGGCTTTAGTTTTAAGTTTTTGTTACAGTGCACAAGACCACTGTAACCAAACAAAGTGAGAGGTGCATGCGACTCAAAACTTGACTGAAACAGCATTGTTAAACTTGTCAGTGACAGTTAGCTAATTGTGCCTGGGAGAAAATGCAATGTGCAGAGTCAAGTTTCTTTTTTCACATTCCAGGATCTGCCAAGTAATTTGATATGTGTGTTAATAATAATAATAATAATAATAAGAAGAAGAAGAAGAAGAAGAAGAAGAATGTTTGTTTTTAACTATTGAAAAATTATTTTAAAAGGTTATTGTTTTTTCAATGTTTGGGTGCTCCATGCTTATTATTATTTATGTGTAATTTATGTTTCTTTGTATGTGTGCATTTCAGGAGCATGTATATTTCATGACTTTTTTAAAATGTTATTTTCAGAAGAGCTGTTCTCAAGTTATTATGATGAGTTTTTAAATCTTCACTTCCATTTATAGATTCTGGAACATTGTGCACTTTAATTGCATAATTTTCAAATATTTAGTTCAGAATTAAACACTATGTCAATGATTATTCTGTATAGAGAATAAATTGTATTCCTGTACACTATACTCACACTGTAAAGTTTATGGTAAATGAATATCAGCTCTATCTATTGGTTTTCGGCCTCTTTGTTTATTAATTAGCATTATTAGAATCGGCCTGGAGAAAAACATATCAGTTGACTGCTGCTTAATAGTGTTGAACAATATCAGTAACGTCTCTATGTGATGTTTCCAGGTTACAGACACAGAAAGAAGCATTGCCCGGACCAAGCTGTGTGTCTACAAACAGTGACTGTTTCATGGAGGACACTGAATTAAACCGGAAGATTGCACCTTCTGATCAAAAGTGAATTATTACCCTTCAGTGCAACTTTAACATGAAACCGTGATTTCAGGAACCATCATGCATATCTGGCTGTTCAGAGTTTAAAATCCATGTTCTTGTAATTTATATGTACACTCACACGACAAAAGTCATGGTATAGCAGTATGTCAATTGATTATAAAGTGGCATTACCTCAGGGAATGGCTTTAGAAACCCCACACCTGTATAAGTTGTGAGGTGTTATTTTGTGAGTAAGGCCAGCGTGCTCATGGCAAGGCGACGTGAATTATTGGGGTTCGAACGAGGCATGGTACTGGGTGCACAGTGGCAGGTCATGGATGCTTAATGATCATGACCTGCAGCATCTGACTAGAATTGTTCATGCAAATAGACAAGCGACTCTGGCAGAAATCACTTCCACACAAATATCCCATAGGTCAGCACAGCGATCTTTAGCTTCCACAGGATATAGGAGCAGAAGACCCACCAGTGAGTTCTTAACACCACAACACCGGACACAGCGCCTCACCAGGGATCATGAGGTTGCTAACTGGACCTTAGAGGACTGGCAACATGTAGCGTGGTCCACTGAGTAACAGTAGTAATTGTTTCGGGCTGATGGTAGGCTTCCCATGAGACCATGGACCCTGGTTGTCAACAAGGCACTGTGAAGGCTGGTGGTGGTTCCATATTGACTTGTGACTGTGACGTTTCACTGCTTGGTGACCATTTGCAGTCCTTCATGGACTTCATGTACACCCACAATGATGGGATATTCCAGCAGGATAATACACCATACACAACATGAGCCCAACCAAGCATTTATGGGATGTGGTAGAGAGGTCCATTCACACCTGATAGCCAGCACCTACAAATATCACGGCAAATACCAGATGGCATGGCTCAACATCCTCCAGACATCTTCTGTCCACTTGTGGAATCGATGCCACGTCAAGTTGCTGCACTTAGCTGGGCTAGAGGGGTTCCTACATGATACTACTTCCTGTCCCATGACTTTTGGCATGTCAGTGTATATAAATAATGCAGCTGTAAACAGTGGTTGAGCTGTGGAGTCTTTTCAGATATGTTGTATTATATTGTGATGTGGTATGTCTTTAGCTCACTACATGGAATGCTATATCATTTCTTGATGCCTCTCCACATGCTAGTTGTTATTAACAAAACACTCTGCGTCAATTATTAATAATAATTAAAGTATATCAGGCATGATGTTAACATACATCACTGTAACACTAAAAACACTGTTGAAACAGTATGTCACTAAGTTAGCTTAGCAATTCTGATTCTGCACATGCACATGGAAGTACCACCCATGCCTTTTATTTGAGTCATTATTAAGATATTGTAATATGGTCACTAATTTTTTTATTCACTTCAAACATGCCTCACTGGTTAATGCTGGTTATCATACCTGTTTTTCTTTTCAAAGAAAGCCCAAAATTCTTAGCGTTCTCTCAGCAGGTGCGTACACTATACCAAGCACTCCAGCATAATCAGTTAAATGTGAAAGTTCTGTAGATGCATGTGAGCAAATCTTGTTTGTTTAACATGAAGAGTTTCAATAGTGTGTAAATCACACTTATGATGGAATGAAAATGTGGATTATTGACATTTTATGATATTAATCCAAAGGGGATGAAAAGGGGTGATGGACATAACAAGGGGGATGGTTTTCATCTTTTTTTTTTTTACCAGGGGGTGGCATCCCCCCCATTACCAATAATGAAAAGAAGCAAGGGTCTATCTGGGTGCAAGCTTCAGTGGGTTTGAGGGGATCAAGGACAAGCATAATGTGAACAATTTGAACATATAAACTCCATTTATGTAATTTAACCTAGGTTAAACTTGCAGCCAAAATATTTTAACTGTAACCTTTACAACTTGTAGGATGCTTCTAGGTGGATGAAGTATAAGAGTTGTAGGTAAATTATTACTATACATTAAGGTATTAGACATTATTATCAATAATAATAATAATGTCTAATAATAATAATAATAATAATAATAATAATAATAAGTGGGGCACTGGTCCAGTTGTCTTTTAATGAGGTATACTTGATAGCTAACCCTACAGAGACTGTTAATAACAATAGAACCTGTAAAAATTGACCATTAATAGCTGTAAAGAAATCATTAGTTAATCAGAATTTGAATATATACAAATGCTTATATTGTCAATGTGCTTATCCATGTTTATGATTACTGTACATGGTGTTTTCTTGCACATTTACAACACTTTCACTAATAAATGAGTTGTACAACATCAGTACATGTATAGAAATCACTTAGTAGTGAAATAAACTTTAGATTTTGTCCAGTATGTATATTCCATGACAAATATTTTTACAGCACTATACAGGATTTACAGGATTACAGCACTAAAAATAAAGTATTAAATAGTTTCAACTTTAACTACTGAAAAAAATCTAAACTAAATAATAAACATTTTGCACATATCTGTTCAAATATCTGAATGTGACAAGGTGTGGGAAGCTATCGAGCTGCTGTGTATTGAGCTAGTATTATAAACATATTCAAAATGTTTTTATTTATATATTGGATTGGATACAACATTGGATACATTACTAATTTTTACATTGCTAACCTAAAGTAGTTCTGGAAAATAGCACTAGTTACTAGTTCTTTCTGCTTTCCTCATTGTTAAGTCTAATCTCCTGTTACTTTTCCACTGTTGCAAAGCCAATAGGCTATACAACTATAACAAGATACATTTTTTATATCTGTGTTTTTTTCTATGATATAAAGTAGACAATACAGGTTTTCTCTAAGGATATATGTTCCACTGTTGCAGTCACATGACTGGCAGACTGTGGACTGATGGGCTAGATATTGTATTACTTATAGATATAGTATTACTTAGTAATACTAAAAAATACAATTTAAATATTGTTGTCAATTTTACTTCAATATTTCCTTGCATAGCCATGTAGCTGCAATATTAATATCAAATAAAAGAGTAAATAGAAAGCACATCAGTCAGAGAATGTGGGCAGTTTATTTTATTTAACTGATGTTTGTGTTCTGATGATTTACCCCCAGGAGGCATCCCTTCACAGCAGTAGCACTGCAGACAGACACACAGTTAGAGAAGACTGGAGACCTGCAGCAAGATTTTTACAAACCAGTAGATGATGTGCTGCACAGAGTCTTAGAGAGACACAAAACCAGAATGAAGAACAAATACAATAGTTTATTTGAGGGAATCAAATCACAAGAAAATAAAACCCTCCTGAACACAATTTATGTACAGCTCTACATCATAGAGGGAGAGACTGAAGGAGTGAATGAAGAACATGAAGTTTTACAAATGGAGAAAAAGCCCAAGAAACACATGCAAGACACTTCAATCAACTGCAATAACATTTTTGAACTCTCACTTGAACAAGGATTTAATGAAGATAGAAAATACCAAGAGGAAAAGCTCAGAACTGTGCTGACTAAAGGCATTGCTGGCATTGGAAAAACAGTCTCTGTTCAGAAGTTCATTGTGGACTGGTCTGAAGGAAAAGCCAACCAGGATGTAGTTTTCATGTTTGTGCTTTCATTCCGGGAGTTAAATTTGATTAAAGATCGCCAGTACAGTTTTCATAGACTTCTGTGTGATTTCCATCCTGAAGTTAAAGACCTGGACCCAAAGACATATGACCTATACAAAAGTGTGTTCATCTTTGATGGACTGGATGAAAGCAGAATTCCACTGAACTTTACACAGTGTGAGAAAGTTTCTGATGTAACCATGACATCATCAGTGGGTGTGTTGATGACAAACCTCTTCAAAGGAGAGCTGCTTCCCTCTGCTCACATCTGGATAACCTCTCGACCAGCAGCAGCCAATCAGATTCCCTCTAAGTACATCAACCGTGTGACAGAAATTCAGGGATTTAATGATCCACAAAAAGAGGAATACTTCAGGAAGAGAATCAGTGACCAAGACCAAGCCAACAGTATCATCTCACACATTAAGACTGCAAGAAGCCTCCATATCATGTGCCACATTCCAGTCTTCTGTTGGATTTCAGCCACTGTGCTTAAGAATTTCATGAAACAGTATATCGACGTTGAAATCCCCAAAACTCTGACAGAAATGTACATACATTTCTTACTTATACAGACGAACATAAAAATACAGAAGTACAAAGAAAGTGAAGAAAGAGATCCAAAGAAACTTTCACAATATAACAGGGAGATGATTCTGAAACTGGCTGAACTGGCTTTCAAACAGCTGATGAAAGGCAATGTGATGTTTTATGAAGAGGATCTGAGAGAGTGTGGCATTGATGTCACCGAGGCCTCGGTATACTCTGGGATATGCACTGAGATCTTTAAGGAAGAAACTGTGCTTTATTGGAGGAAGGTCTACTGCTTTGTGCATCTGAGCTTTCAAGAGTTCCTGGCCGCTTTCTACGTGTTTCACTGCTATGTGTGCCAGAACGCGGAGACATTGCTATTGTTTAAACCACAGAACAAAGAGTGGTCTGAGATGGTTATGCTGGAAGAGCTGCTGGAGGGAGCAGTAAATAAAGCCTTAATGTCTCAGAAAGGACACTTGGATCTTTTCCTTCGTTTCCTGCTAGGTATTTCACTGGAGTCCAATCAAAAACTCCTCCAGGGCATACTGACACACATGCAGAGTACCTCAGAGAGTATAAACAAAATCATAAAGTACATTCAAAAACAAATCAAAGGTGAGCATAATATGGAAATAGAGATGTCAGTAATGATGGAGATCTTCAGGATGATGATGGACAAAATGAAACAAAGAAAGTGTCTCCCTACTGAGAGATCCATCAATCTGTTCCTCTGTCTGACTGAAATGAATGACCAGTCTCTCTCCAGAGAGATTCATCAGTATCTAAACTCTGAGAAGCATGCAGAAAAGACACTTACTCCAGGACAGTGTTCAGCGCTAGCCTGTATGCTTATGGTCTCAGATGACGTGCTGGATGAGTTGGATCTGAAGAAATATAACACATCAGTGGAGGGCTACAGAAGACTGATCCCAGCTGTGAGCAAATGCAGCAAGGCTCTGTGAGTGTTTAAATCCAGATATTCTTACTGGTGTACCTTATTTTCTTAACAGAACACAGGCTAAACGTTAAAAATCGATCAAAGTTTTTCTGTGCAAGTACACTTATTTGCAGTCATAGCATGTAAACTTTTAAGAAAGTTATTTCAACTGTAAAATGTGAATCTGGCCCCCTTTTTTCCTCAGTAAGCCTCCCTTTCCCAAAAAGGATGCATATTCCAAATTCTAGAAGGTAAACTCAGTCAGATTTCAGTTCTAATAGTAGAGCTGCAATGTTCATTGCAACACTGTGATGGCAGCAAGCCATAGTTGGTGTGGGGCAAATCCATAACCATGCATATTTAATTATTTTAACAAGAGAGATTAGCTATGTCAAGTGAGGCACATTTTAAACCAGTACCAGTAACCATGTTGATTCTTCACTGCACTAATGCATCATCACTATCAGTACACTTTTCCTCTTACACCAAATAACTGAACTACATTCAAATTTTGAGTAATATGCCCTTCCCCTAATTTTAGCTAAGCATATTTTACCTATGACTGTGTTTGGGTTACAGGGGAAATAAAATGTTGAAGCTTAGGTTTTTTAAATAGATGTAAAGAGTTATGTGGACTCTCACATGATTATGCCAAGGGAACTCTACAAAAATATGCAGAACACAATTGATTGCAAAACTTGTACACTTAAATGTAGCCCAGTGCAAATCCACTATGTGTAGATAACTTCTAAAATACTTCAACTCTAAAATATTAGGTGCATCCCATGGTTAAATTAGAATATTTTAATGGAAAATGATGTCATTTTATGATTCCACAACCCCATTTCCAAAACAGTTGGGATGCTGTACAAAATGTAAACAAAACAAAATGCAATGATGTGCAAATCATTTAAACCCTATATTTAATTAAAAATAGTACAAAGACAACATATCAAATGTTGAAACTGAGAAATGTCATTGTTTTTTGAAAAATATTTGCCCATTTTGAAATTGATGCCAACAACACATTACAAAAAAGTTGGGACAAGGGCAACAAAAGGCTGGTAAAGTTGTGTAATGCTAAAAAAACACCTGGTGGTCAATTGGCAACAGGTCAGTAACATGAATGAGTACAAAAAGAACATCCCAGAGAGGCTGAGTCTTTCAGAAGTTAAGATGAAGAGGTGTTCACCACTCTGTGAAAGACTGCATATCAAATAGTGCAACAATTCAATAATAACATTTCTCAACATAAAATAACAAAGAACTTAATACATACACAGTACATAATAACATTTAAAGGTTCAGAGAATCTGGAGAAATCTCTGTATGCAAGCGACAATGCCAAAAACCTGGCAAATTTGCTGGCAATAATTTTTGGGCCCTCAGGCGGCACTGCATTAAAAACAGACATGATTCTGTAGAGGAAATCACTGCATGGGCTCAGAAACACTTCTGAAAACCACTGTCTGTGAAAGCAGTTTGTCACTGCATTAACAAATGCAAGGTCAAACTCTAAAATGCAAAGCAGAGATCATATATAAACAGGATCCAGAAACCCTGCCACCTTCTCTGGGCCCCAAGCTCATTTAAAAAGGACTGAGGCGAAGTGGAAAAGTATCCTGTTGTCCAACAAATCAAAATGAGAAATTCTTTTTGGAAATCATGGACACTGCATCCTCTGGGCTAAAGACCACTCAGCTTGTTATCAGTGGTGCATTAGTGCACATGACATGGGTGATGTGCACATCTATGAAGGCACCATTAATGCTGAACAATAGATACAGGTTTTGGCAACATATGCTGCCATACAGACATCTTTTTCAATGAAGGCCTTGCTTATTTCAGCAAGAGAATGACAAACCACATTCTGCATGTATTACAGCAGCATGGCTCTGTAGTAAAAGAGCCTGGGCACTAAACTGGCCTGCATGCAGTCCAGACCTGTCACCACTGAAAACATTTTGATTCATTTTTAGCATTATGAAATGAAAAATACTGCAAATGAGAACCTGAACTGTTGAGCAGCTGAAATCCTATATCAAACAAGATCAGGAAAACATTTCAGTTTCAAAACTACAGCAGTGTCTCCTCAGGTCCCAAACACTTACCGAGTGTGGTTAAAAGAAGAGGTGATGAAACACAGTGGTAAACATGCCCCCATTCCAACTTTTTTGAAACGTGTTGTTGGCATCAAATTCAAAAGGGGCATATATTTTTCAAAAAACAATAACATTTCCCAGTTTCAACATCTGATATGTTGTCTTTGTAGCATTTTCCTTTAAAAATATGATTTACTCGATTTGCACATCATTGCATTCTATTTGTATTTATATTCTGCATAGCATCCCAACTTTTTTGGAAATGGGCTTGTACTATGTTGATTAGACAGCTTGTTGCATACAGTGCTGTGAAAAAGTATTTGCCCCTTGTCCACAGAATATTATTCCAAAATTCTTGAGGGTCATCTAGATGTTTTTTGCAAATGCAAGACAAGCCTTTTTGTTCTTTTTGGTCAGCATGTCTTGGATGAGTCGTTGATGCACTCTTGGTGAAATTTACACAAGAGTCAATTGAATTTGGTTCATTTAGTAGTTAAGGGGGCAATTACTTTTTCTCATAGGGCTGGGTAGGGCTGAACAGCATTTTTCCATCAGTAAATAAAATCATCATTTAAATATAGAATTTTATGTATATTTGGGTCCCGCTTATCTAATATTAAATGTAGCTTGATGATCTGAAACATTCAAGTATGACAAATATGCAAAAATAGAAGAAATTGGGAAGGGGCAAAAACTTTTTCACAACATTGTATGTCATGTTGCACAATGCATAGCACAATTATGTTCATGTGGTCAGTACACAATTAATACGTTATGTACAGTCTCCTCTGAAAATATTGCCACGCCAAGGTCAATTCTTTTGTTCTTGCTTTACACTGACAGTATTTGGGTTTGAGGTCAAAAGGCTGAACATAAAACAACAGATCAAAATTTCAGCTTTAATTTCCTCAGTTACATCAAGGTGTTTTAAACAACTTAGAACATGGCACCTGTGGTGGCAGACCATCCAATGTTTAAGTGAGCAAAAGTTTTGAAACAGATAATCCTGAAATAAGTTAAACATTTAATATTTGGTTTAATATTCCTTGCTTGCAATAACTACAACAAGCCTGTGACCCACTGACATCACCAAACTGTTGAATTCTTTTTTGTGATGCTTTTGCAGGCCTTTACCACATCTTCTTTCAGTTGTTCTTTATTTTTGGGGTGGGTTCTCCATTCAGTTTTCTCTTCAGGAGGTGAAATGCATGCTTCTGATAATTGACTTAGGCAGTCTAAAACTTTCCACTTTTTGAAGTCCTTTGTTGTGTTGGCAGTGTGTTTTGGGTCATTGTGTTGCTGCATGATGAAGTTTCTCCTAATTAGATTGGATGCATTTTTCTTTAAAGTGGCAGACAGAATGTTTCTGTAGAGTTCTGAATTAATTCTCTCACGTTTCTGTCATCAACTGCAGTTGTTTTCCTTGGCTGATCTGTTCAGTGTCTGGCCGTTAGTACATCAATTTACAAATTATTGTATCAGCTATGCCCAATGCTTGTGCAATAGGTCTGTAAAATTTTTCCTTGCTTGCTTTTCTCCCACAAACAGGTCTCTGGTCTTCATGTTAGCTTATCTGTTTTAACAACAAATGCTGTCTTCACAGGCGAAGCCCAGAGTTCAAACCAAGAGTATACATTCAGTACTATGAATTGCTTAAACAATCAATCTTACAGGGCACACCTGGGCAACAAGAAACTGCCAGTCATAGGTTGCAGTATTTTTTGCTTACTTGAAAAATGGGTGGGTATAACAAAAGGAGCCATAATCTAAGTTGTTTAAAACATTTAGATGTAAATATCACCATACTATAAAATCTGATATTCTGAACAGTCTCATATTTATCTTTTGATCTCAAACTCAAATGGCCTTGCCATTCCAATATTTCAGAAGAGATATTATATATTATTCAATATAAATCCATATAAATCTATTTTGGCAATTACTGTGATACTATTTAAACTGTGTTGTCCCTCTGCTTTTGCAGACTGGCTCGCTGTAATCTCACTACAAATGTCTGTGAAACAGTAACTTTGGCGCTGCAGTCACCCAATTCCACTTTGAAAGAACTGGACCTCAGTTACAACAGCCTGCAGGATTCAGGAGTGACGCTACTCTCTGCTGGACTGAGGAGTTCACACTGTAAACTGGAGATACTCAGGTCAGCTTTTTGTAAATTAGATCTTAAATAATAAGTACAAAGCACTAAAGGTCACAGCATTAAATCTAATCAGAGACTCTAAGCTGACTATGAGCTGGTTTATAAGTATTCTATCTGAACAGTACTGCATATTATTTTTGCTTTGTATACAGTACATGACCAGTTCAGATTTGACATCATACAGATTTCCATTTATTGTCATCCTGTCCCCTTTAATTTCTGCCTATTATAATGTTTTAGCATAACCACGTTTTGTATTTCTTTTTTAGGTGAGCAAAGGAAATATAATGCAGCAACTTAAATCAGTGTATAACATACTATATATTTTTAACAGGGCATACTAGCCAGCAACTTAATCATTATACAATAGTTTGTCGGATTCTTTTTAATTATATGTGTAGCATGTGCATTAATAAATGCTACCATCAGAATAACTACTAATTCAATTTTATTTAGAAACATACAATTATTTAATACATGTGTACAAATGTAATTTTTCAGTAGTTAATTATTATTTTGAATTACACACATTTAATAATTTGTAATGTTTTTAATAATTGATACTTATAAATTGCTAATTAAATTGTACAAATTGAATTGAAATACTAAGCATTTACTTAGCCACATAAATAATAATCATAAACATTGTGAATGATTATTCATAATCATAGTACACTACTTAGTAATTGCCCACATTTTGTTTTTACATATAAAAGTAATTTGTTGTTATGCTACCTTGTGGTTAATACACTTTCCTTTAATTATTCAATATTTAAATGGGTAATAAATAGTTTCTTGAACATAAAAAATCATTCATTAGATCCCTGTTTCAGTTTAACTTCATACATTTCATACTATCATATTACACTGAAATTACAAATGTTTAATTAAAAAGAGACAATTTAAACTTGAAAGTAACTATTTTTGGCATTTAATCTACTCTTGTATTTTGTAATGTAATGCTGTTTGAACAGTTTTGACATTTATTTGAAATGCAAAAAAAAGTGATCTAACAGAGATTTTTTTTTTTTTGCGTTTTGTGTCAGAAAATACTTTTTTATCAAGCAAACAATAAATATGAGTATACTTCACAAGTCAGTCAGGTTTTATTGTCTGATAAAGACAATAAAAGTGCTTGCCAATCTGAATTGTTCCAAAATGTGTTCATGTGCTAATTCAATAACTATTGTTGAACTAGAATGCAACAGAATTATAACTCAAGCTGTTTTTTGTCTGTTTGTTTGATATAGTTTGTATTATGTTCATAATATATTTTGTTTCGAATTTTTTTTTCTGGCTTGGGAGTTTTTCCATTGTTGACTGAGAACTGGAAAAAGTCTCTGCAGTTCAGAACCAACACACCTGGCTCTGATATTCAGATGCCTCTGAGGGCTTTCTTTACCTACATCAAGTGTGTTAGATAAGGGGTGGAGCTAAACTCTGCAAGGTGACAGATCTCCAGGACCAAATTGAGCAATCCTGGTGTAAAGCATTATTGGTTTTGAGAAAGGCACTATGTAAATGAAGCTTATTCAGGACTGTCACCAAGGGGCAACTGGGTGAGTGGCTCAACCTACCCCAAAAAGCCAAAGACGCAAAAATATTTAAATCGTACCGTACCTTAAACAAGAGTGCCCAGTCTGCAATATAAGTCTTTGGAAATAGCATGATTAAATGCATGAATGAATTAGCCTAATTAACAGAGTAAAAGTAGTAAAAGTAAATTATCACATTCAGGCCACTCCTGAGCAGCAGCAGTCTGCAGTGATATGGATTCGTAACTGCAGTACTTTATAATCTCTGCCCCAATTAGCTGTGAGGCTAAAATTTGTAGTGTTTGAACAGTGCAAGCAGTTCACAGAGGAGGAGGCTTATTTCATGGACAGTGTAAATTATGTAGCAAAGCAGAGGTGCTGGATGAGTGTAGGAAAAAAGCAGGCCCACTTTATTGTTGTTTATAATGTAAAAGTAGTATTAAGTCAAAGGGTGAACTATATAAGATACCCTGCTGTTGTAAAACTGAAATAGGGCAGATTCTTGCCATTGGTATTCCTGGTGTTTCAGACCTTATTGTTGTAATGGTTCTGATTCTTTTTTTTATATTTATCACTTCTTTCCAGGCTAGCTGGCTGCAATCTCACCACAAATGCCTGTGAAACCCTCAGCCATACTCTGAAATCAGGAACATCCCTTCTGAAAATGCTGGACCTCAGTAACAATGACCTGCAAGATTCAGGAGTGAAACTACTCTGTGATTGGTTGATTAGCCCACACTGTAAACTGGAAAATTTTAGGTGAGCTTATTGTGAATTTCATCTTAAACTAAGCTATGAAGGCAATAGTGAAAAATTGCAAAATTCACTGTTTATTCATTTTTTCACTAGTGAAAATCTCTGTCATGTAAAATGGTCTCAATGCAAAAAACAACAGTTTGTTGTGTATGCACAGATTTACAAAAACCAACTAGTAGTGTAGCATTGCATGTAATGATTCTTAAATTAATAGTGGAGTTTAATAATTAAATTAATTACAGGATTTTTACAGAATTTATTTTTTATAATTGAGTAGTTCAGTGAGCCTTGAGTAGTAATGATAAGAACTGTACTAACATTAGAGTTTGTGGCATTGCTACTGTGGCATTGATATAACTTGCAGATCATTTAGCCAAAGGGTGAAACAAACTTGTTAATGAAACTTTACAGAGTATTAAAAATCCTGCGCTCCCATCAGGAATTATGCAAAAATATCAGTGGAAGATTGGATGATGTGAAGAAAACCTTTTAGTCCCCATGTTGCATGTTTAGGCCCGTTTCAAAGAAGGAAGATCAAAATACAACAAGAAAAAGCAACATATTTACATTATATTGTGTAATTTTACATTGTGTGAAATTTAATGGAGAATTGGATTTTAAATTTAATCTCATATTCTCAAATTTTGTCTCATATTCCCTGTTTTTTGTTTAATTTCATTTCCAGCAAAGAAGTTTATTATATGTCATGATCAAGGCAACTCATTAGTAACCCTTCTCTGCACTAGACTAAATGAAGCATGTTAAAATATTGTAAACAGATTTCATATTATAGTTCTTTTTAATTTTTTAAGATACCAACATGTAGGAAACATCATGCATCATGTTAAAGTCACTGTAATGATTAAATAGTGTAAATATTCATTTTCTATTATGTTCTAGTTTAATGATCCAAAAAAAACCCCAGGAAATAATGTTCAATAATGTAAGGTTAATTGGTTAATTGCCACTAAGCTTGAGTTCTTAATTTAAATAATTTATGATAAATTAAGTGCAGTTAAAAAATGTACTATATTCAATAAATGATTAAAAAAATCAAGGTGTTTACATGACATCATAGTACTAGTTGTTGGTACAAGTTTTGACAGATAGATAAATAAATATACTTTATTATATTTATCTTACCAGGCACAGTGGTGATGAAATACTAATGTATGAATAGTTTGTTTTTGAAATATTCCAGAAGAGTGACATTCTACCTATTCTTTTTTATCTAATAAGAACTGCATTGCAACAGACTAAGTTTGATTCCTGCTGTTACAGTAGGCCAGAACATTTAAAATGGCAAACATATATACAAATTATATATATATATATATATATATATATATATATATATATATATATATATATATATATACCTGGCATATATAAATGCAGTATATGTGTATACATTTTCAAATATTGTCAGTGGTGTTAAATTTGCCCTTTTATGTGAATTATGCTGAAGTGCACAGTTTGGATAATATAAGGCACTTTGTGGTCCTGTTTCTTGTGGTCTTTGAAAAATCTTAATTTGTCTGAAATTACATTTTACAAATAAGAGGTGTTGAATGGAATAAATTTTTTAATTAGTGGTCCTAGATTTTAGCACACAAATATGGTCTCAAATTACACTTGGAATAGCAATAAGAAGGCCTAAATAATATTACATTAAACTTGAGGCTATCTTCAGATGCCCTGTTCTAATTATCTTGACTCATTACTATGGTGATATCACTGGTGTGCTGAGAATGGCACACCTCTCAGACAATATCTGGTCAACAGTGATTCTGTGGTGATCCTTTCTCCATGAATGGATGGATAGTGTAGACAGAGGCAAATGGAGTGGAGGTAGACACAACAATATGTCAATAAAAAACTAAATAGCACCTATGTGGTAGTTATACCTGATAACAAGGGCTTTGAGTTTAGACACAAGGTCATTCTTTGTGCTAGTAAGTGTATTTATTTCATTTGCATTTGCAGATTAACTGCCTGCAGTTTCACCATGATCTCCTGTCGACCTCTCTGCTTTGTTCTCAAATCAGCAAACTCCCTCCTTAAAATATTGGACCTCAGTAACAATGACCTGCAGGATTCAGGCATAGAGCTGCTCTCTGAAGGACTTAACAGTTCACACTGTAAACTAGAGACACTCAGGTGAGCTTTCTGTGTGTTAAATCTTGAATGAAAATTAAGAAAACATTTGTTGTGAAACATATGAATGCTTGGTTAATGGAATGCATGTTCCTAATGTCATAGATACTATGATATTATTAAGTAAAATGAATAAAAGGTTTAAAAAAGCAATATTACAAATGTTTTCAAATTTTGAATGGTGGGGTATGTAGGCCACATTACTACATGAGTGTTCAACTTACTTTGATATTGTAACCATTCACCAGAATCCAGACGCATGTGGATAAAACTAACAAGATTGGTTTTATTAACACTAGGCAAAAACATATTCAAAACACAGGCATGGGTCAAAACCGAGAAGTGCAAAAAGATCACGAAAGTGATCATATCACGAGGCAAACAAAACAATGGGGCAAGACAAAAGACGAGGTCTCCAATTCCGAAAGGAAGTTCAAAGTCACGTGATCTCCCAAGGGAGCTTGGGAAATGAGATCCATTTCAGTCTGTGAGTTCGTACAAAGCGTGACAGATATCATAATTTTGCGGTTCATTGTATAGAATTTGTCAGTGTGGATGAGAGAAAAGGCTTATTATGAGGTTTCCACAGACTCAGAAATTTATTACAATGTACTTAGAGAAGAGCATCAAGACAAAATTTTGAAATTATAATTCTTAAAATATTACAGTGCTTAAAATACAGTTTTATATGGTTGAGATACAGAAAAAACTTAAATATGATCGACTAACACTACAGCTTATCAGATATAATTGCATCGACTCTAAGCCCTACATACCTTTCTCTCCATAAAGTATTCATCATTCTCCCTCCTGACAAGCCTTCAAGCCAAACTTATCCTTTGCATTTAGGAGGCAAATGGACCTTTTGACAATATATGATTGCCAATCCCTTTCATGAAGAAAAGGAATGACTATTAGAGCAATGACTAAGACCTCAGGAACACACAAACACTTACACCAGCATGATTTTTATTTTCAATTTTTAAAAAAGTAACACAAAATTATAGCACAGCTACTAGGGTCAAACACTAAGCAAGGCCCAGTGACTTGGTTAACAAAAACAAGCAACACTATCATTATTGGTGAAGGTTTACTGGTGTCATCCAGGATGAGCACATGACCATGGGTGGGAATATTTTTCCCGTAATTGAATGTTTAGTATAGGTTACTTACTAGTTCAGCTTATACTAACACAACACATGGAATATTCCTGTGAGTGAATGAGTAGTTTATTGCCATATAATCAACATTTTATTAAATAGCAACAGTTGATGAATTACTTATTCTGTTAAGAGCCTTTTCGAGAACTTGCTTAATGCTAGTGCACCTATGGGACTTTTCTGCCCAGCTGAATGTTAAACAAAGTCTTGTTCCTTTATAGAATAACTGTTCTATCTAAAAATTTTCTTCTTAATATTAAATAAGAAATGAATACCAATGTAGTAAACAAATACTTATTCTAATTATTCAGTTCAGCTCTAGGTGATGGAAAGTGCAGCACAAAATCTCTCCCTCAAGTGTTTTATATTTTGGGTCATAAAATATCAATGTCTTAGAGACTGTATTAGAGAAAGAATACATAATAAGCAGTGAGCTGAGTAGGTCTTATATTAACAATAGTAATGACACTGTAGGGGTGACAGTGTGAAACCTTCTCTTATAATGCTAACTGAAGCTGCAGAATCAACATAAATCACCCAATAGAAAACTCAACATTAATAGTTTGTTTAGTTTTTCGCATAAATATCATCAAATAATAACCATGAGGTTTGGAATCTCCTCTTAATCATATTGTATTCACTGTATATGCCTTTGCAGGCTAATTGGCTGTAATCTCACTATGAGTTCCTGTGAAAATTTCTGCTTTGCTCTACAATCAGCAAACTCTCATTTAAGAGAACTGGACCTCAGCAACAATAATTTTAATAATTCAGGAGTGGATCTGCTCTGTAGTGGGCTAAAGAGTTTGCACTGCAAACTGGAGATACTCAGGTAAGATGTTTGTGAATTAACTCTTAACTGAAATGAATAAAACATTTATTTTGAGAACATAAAAGAAAAGCATATTTTTTTTTGAAGTCAGAAAGTGACAACAAAAGTTTAATTTTTGCTACATGAGTTGATATGGCAAACGTATAGTGTCCCTTAAGATGAAGACAGCTAGATACAGAGGTTAGTAACACAATAGTGTTTATTTAAAGCTAAAATCAAAAAAGAACATGACATTGTTATCTTGCTACAGTGATTTTTGGATTATTTTAACAGATTGTACAAGTAATAAAGACAGATGATTGTGGCACTGTAAGCCTCATGAATGTTTGCAAAAACATATTCCAGTATGTTTTCCTTCCTTGTCAGACAAAACACTACTGGTGGAAATTGGGAAGTACTGTTTTCAGAAAAGTTTGATTAAACTATTAATGATAATCACAGGTTTGGGTGGAGAGACTACTGTATACCAATTGTTGTAGATATTGTTATTGGCACTAGTTTAGGATCCATTTATTGTGGAATGTAAACATTCAGAACAATGACTGTGAGTTTCCTTTTAAGAGTAGGTACACCACGCATTGTTAATAAACACATAGTCCACCTTCTCCTTTGTAAGTACAAACAAGGATAATATATATGAAATTGATAGGGTAAGAAAAGTGTATTCAAAGTATATTTTGGCTCATGACCTGTCCTGGGTGTTTCCTGCCTTCCGTCTAATGACTGCTGGGATAGGCTCCAGCAACCTAAAAGTATATGCGGCTTAGAAAATGTGTGTGTGTGTATTTGGGATCATTGTCTTGTTGAAACATCAGCTCATCTCCTTTAGATATTAAAGTTGGGGCTAAGGCATTATTCTACAGTTTATATTTCTGTGCAACATTTTTTTTTTCACTTTGTTCCTTTTTGCCTGCTCTCTACAGATTTTCTGGTTGTAAGATCACAGAAGATGGCTGTTCATCTCTGGTTTCAGCTCTGAGTTTAAACCCCTCACACCTCAAAGAACTGGATCTGACATGCAATCACCCAGGAGAGACAGGTGTGAAGCTGCTTTCTGCTAGATTGGAGGATCCACACTGCACACTCAACACACTCAGGTAGGTACAGCTTTGTGGGTCTGTTTATATAATCGAGCAAGAAAGTAGGCATGTTAACAACATCATAATTTCAAATTTTCCATCTCTGAGTCTCTAAATATAATTTTGAATATTTATCATACAGGTCAATTTCAGGGCCTATTTTTGAAAATTTGGAATTGAAACCCCTGGTGCCATGCATATTGTCAGATCAGGCAAACATCTTATGGAGCTGAAGATGTCTTCTCAGCAAAAGACATTGTTCAGCTCCTATTTCATCAGACAGTCATGCCCTTGCTCCTAGTTCTCTCTGTTTGTCACCTTCCTGTCCTTCATTCCTTTACATTTTTCTAAAATTACAGTATATAATACAGGCACAAAAGCAATAATAAGTAGTAACTTCTATAATGGTTTTGAAAAGAATTTTAAAGTTACTTCCAAGCATCCAAGCATCATCCGCTTACTTTTGCTTAGCACTGTAGCTGAGTATACATATATATTAATTCCAGCCTGGTAAGTTACCATGGCAGTGCACTTTTTATAACTGAAGAGAAAATGGACTTAACTTCTTTTGCATTTCTCCACCCACTTTCCCAAATCTCCTACTGCACCTGCTGACCTTTGCAGCCTGGCTAGCTGTAATCTTACTGTGAATTCTTGCAAAGTGCTTGCATCAGCTCTGCAATCATTAAACTCATCCCTGAAAGAGCTGGATCTCAGTAACAATGACCTGCAGGATTTAGGAGTGGAGCTGCTCTCAGTTGAATTGAAAAGTTCACACTGTAAACTGGAGATACTCAGGTAAGCTTTCTATGAATTCATCTCTGATTGGAAAAGCTTACACCCTGAAGATGCTGTAGAGTGATGTTCCTAGACACCAGTTTTGTAACTTACCCTTGGTTTGTTGTCTCTGTTTTATTCCGCTCTGCAGATTATCTGGTTGTATGATCACAGAGGAAGGCTGTTGTTCTCTGGCTTCAGCACTGACTTCAAACCTCTCACACCTGAAAGAACTGGATTTGACCTATAATCACCCAGGAGAGTCAGGATTGAAGCTACTCTCTGCTAGACTGGAGGACCCACACTGCTCACTGAACACTCTCAGGTATGAACTGTGCTCAGAGGTGTATGTATATGGCATGGGCAGAATCAGTGGAGCAGTTTAATTTGTCTAGTCAGTCTAGTTATTAATGCTAGACCAGATAACATGCATACAGAATCTGAGGAGGGTGTTTTTAGCTTCCATTTAACCTGTAAAATACAATATGTACAATTACTAAATAAGGAGACAATAAATAATAAGTCATAAAAGGATAAACAATCAGTATAGCCACAAGTGACAATTAATTTTTACTGCTGAGGTGAAAATAGCTAAAAATAAATATTTGTAACTGTAGCTGCTCCCAGAGGAAAATTAAATCCAAATTTGGATTTGTGCCATCTCACAGTATAATCACACATGTAATTATGTAATTTGGTCACAATCAGATAATTCATGAATGAGCTTAAATGCATTGCAAACTGCCAAAGCAACAAGGCTTTGATTGAGATGTTGTAGCCATACTGTTTTAAATTTGGTTAGACAATAGTTCAGTTTCAGACTCCAAATACTGTTTTGAGATCAAATTGTGAAAAGTGAAATTGGTTTTGAGGTGATGAGTGTATACACTTTGTTCTTTCTTGCTTAGGGTGCAACATGCAGGGAGGTTCAGAATCAAACCAGGAATAAAGAAATGTAAGTTCGCTGTGTCCAGTATGATGATCACACACTCACATTTTGAGTTGTTTTTCATTTAATTCATCTTCTTTTTTCATTTTCTCTTATCTTGTGTGTTGCGTTTTTCTCTAATATATGTTTTTCTGTTCTGATTATTTCTCTTACAATCTCTTTTTTGTGTTTTGTTTTCTCCTCTAATTTCTCTTCTTGTGTGTCAAGCTTTCTCCCCCAATCTCACTTGTATGTTGTGTTTTCTCTTCTTTCTAATTTCTCTTTTTGTGTGTCATGTTTTCTCTTGTAATCGCTCATCTTGTTTGCTGGCATTTTATTCTGCATTCTCTCTTCTTGTGCATTGATTTTCCTTCTCTAATTTCTCTTCCTGTGTTGTGTTTTCTCCTCTATTCTCTCTACTTGCTTGTCATTTTTTCTAGTCTCTCTTCTTGTGTGTCATCTTTTTTCTTCTAATCTCTCATCTTATGTATTGATGATTTATCCTCAAATCTTTTTGTGTCACGTTTTCTTCTCTAATCTCTTCTCTTGGCGGTGTTTTCTTCTCGAAACTCTCATATTGCATGTTGATGTTTTCTAATCTCTCTTCTTGTGTGATGTTTGCGTGTTGTTTTCTGATCTCTAATCGTGTGTTTACTTTTCTTCAAATCTTTTGTCATGTTGTCTTCTCTAATCTCTATTTTGTTTGTTATCTTCTTTCTCTTTGTGTCATGTTTTGTTTTCTCATTCTTTTCTTGTGTATTATTTTTTCTTCATTAATCTCTCTTCTTGTGTGTTGAGTTTTCCCCTCTAATCTCTCTTTTTGTATGTTGATGTTTTCTCATCTAATTTCTCTTTGTGTGTGCAGATTCCTATGAACTCACACTGGACCCAAACACAGCACACACCAGTCTCTCTCTGTGCGAAGGGAACAGAAAAGTGGTGCATGTGAGAGAGCAGCAATCATACCCTCATCATCCAGAAAGATTTGATTACTATGAGCAAGTGCTGTGTAGAGAGAGTGTGACTGGACGTTGTTACTGGGAAGCTGAGTGGAGTGGAAGAGAGGCTGAAATAGCCATTACATATAAAACAATTAGTAGGAAAGGAGATGGTTATGACTGTGTGTTTGGACTGAATGAAAAGTCCTGGAGTCTTCTCTGCTCTAATGACAGATATATTGTTTGGCACAATAATAACAGAACTGACATTTATGCTCCTCTCCCCAGCTCTAAGAGAATAGGAGTGTATGTGGACTGTCCAGATGGCATTCTGTCCTTCTACAGTGTCTCCTTTGACACACACACACTGACACACTTATACACGCTCTACTCCACATTCAATGAACCCCTCTATGTAGGATTTAGGGTTTGGGGTGCTGACACCTCAATGTGTATCTGTAAGATAGAATAGCCAGTGGCACTTTATTTTATGTATGGTAAGTACCTAGTATTGAACAGATAAATATTTACAAGTAATTTTCTGGTACATACGTCCCATGTACAGAGTAAATTATGCAAAACTAACAGGTATGTATAAAATTTAATATATAAATATGCAGCACTTATAAGTGATTTTCTAGTACAGACTTTGTATGTACATAGTAACTTATAAGAAAACATCTAGGTATGTATAGCAATACTAATTCAGAATTTAATGGCATATATGTAGTACTTCTAAGTAATACTACGCACATACTTCTGAAGTTCAATATTTAAGTACAGAGTAACTAATGTTACTAATAAGTGATTTAAACTTCACTACCAGCATGTAGCAAACAGGGGAGTACATCTGAAAACATGAAGACATTTATTATTAAAACATGTTCTGCCTTGGTCAAAAAAGCCAAGAGATTTTTAAAACTGTGGATTAAACCTGTAGGTTTTCATGTCTGAGCAGGAGGCATTAGTAAGGAATACTGCTATCACATGAACTGAAACTAAAAGCTAGCAGTACATGTACTTAATAATTCTTCGGTAATAGCTGATTCTCTTGTCATGTTTGTGTTGTTTATTATTATGTCCTGCATTTGCTGTATTGTGTGTTATATGTGCATGTACTATGCCATCAAACTGCTGGCAGCACCACTGGAAATGCACAATGTAAAGTGGCCATCAAAGAAGGAAAGTGGTATGTGTTCATCAAAGCTGCATCCAGAAACCCTGAAAGCGGGAGAGAAGCCACTGAAAATACCTGCCGAAGCGGCTTCAAGCAGAGGATAGATAAGGGTGTGCTCTTCAAGAATCTTTTACAGATTTAAATGACATTACTGGACACATGGCCAGAGAGGACAAACATGGAGCAATCTCTGTATAATTTACAGTCTGCGTTTAATTTGGGTTTATATAATTATCTGTGTTGTGTTTTTGTACTTGGTGTAAAATAAAATTCCATTCCTCCTCTTTCTTTCCTCCCTTCAATTCCTCCATGTGTTTCTGGGGTAGGAGAGGAGCAGTTGCAAAATTTCTGAACATCACCCAGGATAATAAAAGTATCTGACTAGATCTTCCCCTTTTTTGTTCTTCCTCAAGATGGACGTGCACATAGTTTTCATTAACTTACATTACATTAAAGAGCAGATAATTGATCAGCATCAGCATTATTAAGACAAATTAAGGAGAATACAAATGCTACAAATGCTAAAGGATGAAGTTAAGGCAATGTTAAATGGTAAGCGAAATGGTTAGTTTAATGCTAGGCTAAGACTTAACAGGAAAAACAGTAGAAGAACCAATGCTAAAGCTAGGTGGATACAAGGATGTGAATGCTAAAGCTAAGAGAGCAGGCCACGAGAATACAGAAGGCAGGGCAAAGCAAGGCACACAAACAAATGAGAATAATCTCATAGATATGATAGGCGTGATCATTTTACCATTCCACTTTTGGAGTGATGCAGATGGAGATATTGTACATACAATCAATAGAAGCTCCCACATGAAAAAATGAAAAACTTACTGCTGGAGCAAATCTATCCCCTACCCAGGGAAAGATGTCCCCTGGTGGATATCCTCCATTAATTAATCATCCGATTTTTTCAGAATGTATGATTTATATGTCAAGTCCTTTTTAATAAAGCTTGTCTTATTAAATAAAGTACATTGAAATATTAAGCTTTAAAAATAATTCTTATTTTGTGTTGATAATAAAAAAAATAAACATTTTAAATGCAAGCCTCATGCTCCATGTGATCGATGTTGGCTAAAGTCCTCCTATGCAGTGTGGAGACAACCACAGCTCCAGCACAAGGCCGTTCTGTCCCAACTTTTATTGAGGTTCCAGTGCATTCTGAACTGATGCTGATGTAAAATTGCAGTGGCTTTAAATGATTTATAGTAAAGAATAACCCAAGCTGATTAGAAGGCCAGTGATCATTTCGCATAGTTCCTAAAAATAATTTAATTAGATTTAATGAAGCTGATGTAAAAAGTACTATGTTAAAAGGATGATAAATACTGCCACATCACAGGCTGATTAAAAGGTCAGTGATCATGTAGCAACTTTTTTGGTGTTACTTATTTATATGCCTTCCAGGCTGAAGTGCCCTAGCCTGAAAGGCTGATGGAAACCATCTTACACCTTCCAGGCTCCTAAGAAGACCAATTATTTGCTGAATTTAACATGACTTCTTTAAGATTATAAATAATACTAGCCTCTAAGGCTGAAAGGACAGACCTGGACATCAAAGACTGAGTATATGGAAATTGTTCATTGTTTCATGTTGTAGTTTTATTGTATTATTTGGATGTCTTTAAGGTAAAGGCATCTCAAAGGATGACAGTATGACTATGATTTTTTCACTTTGTAACTTGATGGCAAGACTGATTCAGTGTATGGCAAGATTTTTTATATACCTGATGTAAAATGCACAAGCTTTAATAGTTGAACACTTTATTACCTTCTTGGCTGATTAAGAAACCAGTGATATTTTACCGTAGTTTCTTAAACATTACTCACATATATGTTCCTGATGTGTCATGCCTCCCTCCAGCCCTGTTGTTCACAATGCTCAGCATATTAATCCAACTCCAACTCCCAGAATCTCCCAGTGGACCATACTCACCCCACAGCTATCCTCTAATCATAGACCGTTCTAAAGATCATTATCATCTGAATACTAAACTGTTATACCTGTATTCAATTCCACCTTCCATTTAAAGACTGCAAAGTATTGCCCTTGTTTCAGAGCATACTGAGCATTTATTTATTTATTTATTTATTTATTTATTTATTATGTTTTCTGTGTGTGTTTTGACCTAGTTTGACTCTGTTTTTGGCTTTGTTTGCTGTGTTTTTTGGTCACAGCTTTATAATTGTGGTGACACTTTATTTTGAGTGGTCCTTTTTAGATAAAATAAATGCTCAACAGAGTCTTTTTTTAACATAGCAACAATATATCAATAATATAGCAGCAGTGAATACATTTAGTAGATTGTCAATAGACTTTTAATTAACTGTGTAAAAAAAAATTGTAATCAGAATTCAGCTGTTTTTCATTTTATTTGGAGAGTACAAATTCATATCTGTAGATATGAACCTGAGAAATCACTGAACATGTAACAGCTCTAATACGCACCATCTCAACATCATCAGCAAACTGTTACAGACATGCTGCTGACACCATCCTGTAATTGGAATTCACTGGATTAGGTTTTGGTTAAGGTTAGGCTTAGGGCCAGAGTGACTGGAGTAGCTTTTGGGTTGAGATTAAGGTTAGGGTTAGAATCAGGATTGGGGTTAGGTTTTGGGTAAGGTTAGGTTTTACTTAATGGAAATAAAATATTAAGTCTACTTCATGTTACATATCAACAATACATCTACTTAATGTTAGAAATGTTTCAACGGTACATCTTCAGACATTTATCATAATGTTTTCAGATGCTTCACTACTGCTAGTTCACTGATTTGTTGTTGATGTGTTACTGATATTCTGTTGAGAGTTTTTTAATTGTTTACAAAGAACCACTCAAAATGAAGTGTTACCATAATTTCAGCTTTGCCCTTGACTACTATTTTTATATTTCTGTTGTTTGGTAACCGTCCAATTCTAACTGTTCTAATTGTTTTGACCCTAGCCTGTTTTTTGCCCTTTTCAAGGAAAGCCTCAAAGCTTTGTTTTATCTGTGAGCGTCTGACTCATACTATCTTGGTACTGCCAATGTAAAGATTATTGGCCTCCCAGATTGATAAGATAGAATAGAAAAAAAAACAAAAAAAACAACACAGACTGAAGAAAGCAATTTTTTTCTTTTTATTTTTTGTACTTTTTAAAATAATCTCTCTAATATTTTTTAAGCCAGTCACTATTTTTATTTTTATTTATTTTCGTTATTAAGCACTTTGTAATTATTTCTCCTTTTGATATTCCTTTTGCTTTTATTTATGTAAAGCATGTTGAATTGCATTTGTGTATGAAATGTGGTATGTAAATAAACTTGCCTTGCCATCATCTGTTTTGCATGTGTTTTTCTCTTTATTAGAAAAATTGTGATAAAGAGAGTCAGTATGCTTCACTGATACAGTTGTCACTTTTCAGTGGTCACACTTCTTAATTAGACATATTTTTGTAAAATTAGCATGGTAGTACTTTGTGTTCAAATTGCCAGTTAGCCTGTATTATTTCTGTTGTCAGTTTATTTCAATTTAAAGCAAATTGTCGCTTCTTTATTGGCAGGATTTTTTTGCTGATAAGTCTACACCTCAGTACTGGAATTGTTTCTTGTTTGAATTCATTTTTCAAAAAATGTTGAAAACATTACAAGAAAATATAATGACGTTCAATAAACCTTTTTTTCAAGGTATTTGGTGTTTGTTTGTTTCTCTTTTTGATTTTACTTTTTGTTTTAGAAAATATTCATTATTAATGATTTGTGAATAATTATGTGGGAGAGGTAGCTGTTTGAGCTTGAATCTCTTCTGAACTGGGTCCATGCCAAATTTGGGCCAGATATGAAGATAATATTTAGACCTGCGCCAATTCAGGGCCAGATGTAACGCTGTTCTTCGTTCATCTGGGCTGGTTTTTAATCTGTTTTGGCGCAGATCCGTAAAATGGATCAGTTCTGGTATAGGGCCATTGTGCAAAAAGACACTGGACCAGCTCTGCTTTGTGGATCCGGACCAGATGCGGTGCTACATTTGACCCTAATCAGGCGTAGTGTACATTTGTTGTCTGAGTGTTGTCAATCCATGTGGTAAGTGGACCAGATGAAAATGGAAGTGGATGTTGGCCAGACCTGGGCCAGAATAATTTTGCTGTCTAAAATGTGTCTGGTGAGGGTCTGATCCCAATACGACCCACATCTTATGGCCAGCTTCTGCTCCAGATTAGGCCCAGTGGTGTGCTTCAATTTTTTGGCTAATTCATGGCCCATATCTAGCAACCAGGAGCAGACTGCCCAAGTGCTGTCAATCCATGTGGCAAGGGGGCTGGATGAAAATGAGGGATGTGGGACAGATCTCGGCCATAATAAATTTGCTATCTGGACTGACACCTCCAAACAACTATTATGGATGGAGGCATGAGATAATTAGATTTTTTCAAAAGAAGGCAAAAACAAACACTGCAAGCCAAACATGAAGCAAATGA